TTTTTAGGTCTTTAGGGAATAGACCAAGAAGGGGAATAGCTGGGTCAAATGGTGGCTCCATTCCCAGCTTTCCAAGAAATCTCCATACTGCTTTCCAAATTGGCTGCACCAATCTGCAGTCCCACCAGCAATGTACAAGTGTACCCTTTTCCCCACATCCTCGCAAGCACTTGTTGTTGTTTGACTTCCTAATGGCTGCCAATCTTACTGGAGTGAGATGGTATCTTAGGGTGGTTTTGATTTGCATTTCTCTGACAGCTAGAGATGGTGAGCATTTTTTCATGTACTTGTTGATTGACTGTATGTCCTCCTCTGAGAAGTGTCTGTTCAGGTCCTTGGCCCATTTGTTGATTGGGTTGTTTGTTATTTTATTGTCTAATTTTTTGAGTTCTTTGTATACTCTGGATATTAGGGCTCTATCTGAAGTGTGAGGAGTAAAGATTTGTTCCCAGGGTGTAGGCTCCCTATTTACCTCTCTTATTGTTTCTTTTGCTGAGAAAAAACTTTTTAGTTTGAGTAAGTCCCATTTGTTGATTCTAGTTATTAACTTTTGTGCTATGGGTGTCCTATTGAGGAATTTGGAGCCCGACCCCACCGACTGTAGATCGTAGCCAACTTTTTCTTCTATCAGACGGCGCGTCTCTGATTTGATATCGAGCTCCTTGATCCATTTTGAATTCACTTTTGTGCATGGCGAGAGAAAGGGATTCAGTTTCATTTTGTTGCATATGGATTTCCAGTTTTCCCAGCACCATTTGTTGAAGATGCTGTCCTTCCTCCATTGCATGCTTTTAGCCCCTTTATCAAATATAAGATAGTTGTAGTTTTGTGGATCGGTTTCTGTGTCCTCTATTCTGTACCATTGGTCCACCCGCCTGTTTTGGTACCAGTACCATGCTGTTTTTGTTACTATTGCTCTGTAGTATAGTTTGAAGTCTGGTATCGCTATACCGCCTGATTCACACTTCTTGCTTAGCATTGTTTTTGCTATTCTGGGTCTTTTATTTTTCCATATGAATTTCATGATTGCTTTCTCTATTTCTACAAGAAATGCCGTTGGGATTTTGATTGGCATTGCATTAAACCTATAGAGAACTTTTGGTAATATCGCCATTTTGATGATGTTAGTTCTGCCTATCCATGAACAGGGTATATTTTTCCATCTTCTAAGATCTTCTTCTATTTCTCTCTTTAGGGTTCTGTAGTTTTCATTGTATAAGTCTTTCACCTCTTTTGTTAGGTTGATTCCCAAGTATTTTATTTTTTTTGAAGATATTTTGAATGGAGTGGTTGTCCTCATTTCCATTTCAGAGGATTTGTCGCTGATATACAGGAATGCCTTTGATTTATGCGTGTTGATTTTAAATCCTGCCACTTTGCTGAATTCATTTATTAGCTCTAATAGTTTCTTTGTAGAGCCTTTTGGGTCTGCTAGGTATAGAATCATATCATCTGCAAATAGTGATAATTTAAGTTCTTCTTTTCCTATTTTGATTCCTTTAATTTCTTTCGTCTGTCTAATTGCTCTGGCCAGTGTTTCGAGAACTATGTTGAAGAGAAGTGGAGAGAGAGGGCATCCCTGTCTTGTTCCAGATTTTAGAGGGAATGCCTTCAGTTTTTCTCCATTCAGAATGATGCTAGCCTGAGGCTTAGCATAGATTGCTTTTACAATATTGAGGTATGTTCCTGTTATCCCTAGTTTTTCTAGAGTTTTGAACATAAAGGGATGCTGTACTTTGTCGAATGCTTTTTCCGCATCTATCGAGATGATCATATGGTTCTTATTTTTAAGTCTATTGATGTGGTGAATAACATTTATTGATTTCCGTATATTGAACCAGCCTTGCATCCCAGGGATGAATCCTACTTGATCATGGTGTACAATTTTTTTGATATGTTTTTGTATCCGATTCGCCAGAATTTTATTGAGGATTTTTGCATCTAGGTTCATTAGAGATATTGGTCTGTAGTTTTCTTTCTTTGAAGTGTCTTTGTCTGGTTTAGGTATCAGGGTGATGTTGGCCTCATAGAATGAATTTGGAAGTTCTCCCTCTTTTTCTATTTCCTGAAGTAGCTTGAAAAGTATTGGTATTAGTTCTTCTTTAAAGGTTTTGTAAAATTCTGCTGTATACCCATCCGGACCTGGGCTTTTCTTAGTTGGTAGTCTTTTTATGGTTTCTTCTATTTCCTCAATTGATATTGGTCTGTTTAGGTTTTCTATATCCTCCTGACTCAATCTGGGCAGATCATATGACTTAAGAAATTTATCTATGCCTTCACTATCTTCTAATTTATTGGAGTATAAGGATTCAAAATAGTTTTTGATTATCTTCTGTATTTCTGAAGTGTCTGTTGTGATATTGCCTTTTTCATCCTGTATGCTAGTAATTTGAGTTCTCTCTCTTCTTCTCTTCGCTAGCATGGCTAAGGGTCTGTCGATTTTGTTTATTTTTTCAAAGAACCAACTTTTAGTTTTGTCAATTTTTTCAATTGTTTCTTTTGTTTCGATTTCATTAATTTCAGCTCTGATTTTAATTATTTCTTGCCTTCTACTTCTTTTGCTGTTGTTTTGCTCTTCTTTTTCAAGGATTTTGAGATGGAGTATGAGATCATTTATTTGTTGGTTTTTTCTTTTTTTAAGGAATGAACTCCAAGCAATGAATTTTCCTCTTAGAACTGCTTTCAATGTGTCCCATAGATTCCGATATGTTGTGTCTGTGTTTTCATTTATCTCTAAGAATTTTTTAATTTCCTTCTTGATGTCTTCTATAACCCATTGATCATTCAGTAACCTATTGTTCATTCTCCAAGTGATGTATGCTTTTTCCTTCCTTCTTTTATCATTGATTTTCAGTTTCATTCCATTATGATCAGATAAGATGCATGGTATTATCTCTACTCCTTTATATTGTCTAAGAGTTGCCCTGTGACATAATATATGATCTATTTTTGAGAAGGATCCATGTGCTGCTGAGAAAAAAGTGTAACTGCTTGATGTTGGGTGGTATACTCTATATATGTCAATTAGGTCTAGGTTATTAATAGTGTTATTGAGTTCTATAGTTTCCTTATTCAACTTTTGTTTGGAAGATCTGTCCAGTGGCGAGAGAGGTGTGTTGAAGTCTCCCATGATTATGGTGTGGTGGTCTATTAGACTCTTGAACTTGAGAAGAGTTTGTTTGACGAACATAGCTGCACCATTGTTTGGGGCATAAATATTTATGATTGTTATGTCTTGTTGGTGTATGGTTCCCTTAAGCAGTATGTAGTGTCCCTCTTTATCTCTTTTGATTAACTTTGGCTTGAAATCTCTTTTATTTGATATGAGTATGGACACGCCTGCTTGTTTCCGAAGTCCATATGAGTGATATGATTTTTCCCAACCTTTCACCTTCAGCCTATGTATGTCTTTTCCTATCAAATGCGTCTCCTGTAGGCAGCATATTGTTGGGTCTTGTTTTGTGATCCATTCTACTAGCCTGTGTCTCTTAATTGGTGAGTTTAAGCCATTAACATTTAGGGTTATTATTGAGATATGGGTTGTTCTTCCAGCCATATTTGTTTATTTCTGTTACTAAACATGGTTTGTTTTCCTCTTTGATTATTTCCCCCCCGCTCTTTACTGTCCTACCTCCCACTGTTGGTTTTCATTGTTATTTTCCATTTCCTCTTCCTGTAATGCTTTGGCGAGGATATTTTGAAGAGATGGTTTTCTAGCTGCGAATTCTTTAAACTTTTGTGTATCGTGGAAGGTTTTAATTTCATCCTCCATCCTGAAGCTTAATTTTGCTGGATACACAATTCTTGGTTGGAACCCATTTTCTTTCAGTGTTTGAAATATGTTATTCCAGGATCTTCTAGCTTTCAGAGTCTGTGTTGAAAGATCAGCTGTTATCCTGATTGGCTTACCCCTAAATGTAATCTGCTTCCTTTCTCTTGTAGCTTTTAAAATTCTCTCCTTATTCTGTATGTTGGGCATCTTCATTATAATGTGTCTAGGTGTGGATCTCTTATGATTTTGCACATTCGGCGTCCTGTAGGCTTCTAGGATTTGGGATTCTGTCTCATTCTTCAAGTCTGGGAAGTTTTCTTGTATTATTTCATTGAATAGACTGCTCATTCCTTTGGTTTGGAGCTCTGTACCTTCCTGTATCCCAATGACTCTTAAGTTTGATCTCTTAATGTTATCCCATATTTCTTGGATGTTCTGCTCATGGTTTCTTAACAGTCTTGCTGAGCTGTCTATGTTCTTTTCCAGTTGAAATACTTTGTCTTCATTGTCTGATGTTCTATCTTATTTTTTAAAGTCTTGTGGCAGTGCTCTCAGAATTCTTTTCATTAGAATCTTTTCCATTGCTATTTAATTGCTTAAGCATTAATAAAATATGAATTTTGATTACTTTATAGTTTATATTTGCTTAAAATTTAGGGAATCTTTCACATAAACTAAATTTAAGTAAAAAGTTGAGTTATAGAAGAAAATTAGAGATTTAGGTAAATATTATTGAGGAAAACAGAAATATGTTTTTCACTTTTACTTAAATATTGGTGTTTATTTTGTTTATTTCAATCACAATATTTTAATCAAAATAAAGTGCTACATTGTAAATAATTGATTCAGGAGCTGTGGAAATTTTAGTTTGGGTAAAGATAATTTTAAAAATTTACTATTTTTTAAATATCTCTTTCTAATTTATATTGTCTTATTATACCTGGATATTCTTGTAAAATTTTTGGATGTAAGCAGGAAATCATTAGATAGTAGTTAGATATAAATGCAGTTTTTCATGTATTTGGATTGTGTAAAAAATAAAAATACTCATTAAAATATTTTATATCTAAATTTATAAGCTGTATGGAGAAATTTTTTTTAAAAAATTACATTTATTTATAATCTTCCTGATGAGGTAATTAGATCCAATATTGAATTTTAAGTGAAATAAATTTTCATATAATAATATTCTATATATTTTGAGATTTAAACTTGACAAGATATTCAGAGGTTACCATAACTGAGGCATCTGAAGATGATTATGAATATGAAGAGGTAATTTTTACACTTTTAAGTATTTATTCCATAAATTGATTGCAGTCATTCTCATGAACTATTTTATAATTTTCTGAAACATATAATCTTTTTCCCTTAAAAGACACTGATTTTCTGGTATAGTGATGCCATCTGCTTTACTCTTCTTTCCTCAGTCTATACCCAAAGGACTTAAAAACAGCATACTACAGGGACACAAGCCACATCAATATTTATAGGAGCACAATTCACAATAGCTAAACTGTGGAATCAACCTAATGCCCTCCATTAGGTGAATGGATTAAAAATGTGATATATATACCCAATGGAATATTATTCAGCATTAAAAAAGAATAAAATCATGGGATTTGCAGGTAGATGGGTGGAATTGTAGAATATAATGCTAAATTAAGTTAGCCAATCCTAAAAAACCAAATGCTGAATGTTTTCTCTGATTCAAGGATGCTGATTCATAATGTGGTGGTGGGGGACATGGGAGGATTAGATGAACTCTAGATAGGGAAAAGGGGAAAAGAGGAGGGAGGGGAAAGAGGGGGTATGGGGGTAGGAAAGATGGTGGAATGAGATGGACATCATTACCCTATCTATGTACATGTAAGAAGACATGAATGGTGTGACTCTACTTTGTACAACCAGAAATATGAAAAATTGTGCTCTGTATGTGTAATACGAATTGGAATGCATTCTGCTGTCATATATAACAAAATTTAAAAAAAGAAAAAAATTTAGTTGATGTCAAAAAAAGAAATTAGTTTTTAAACTGAAGCTACCTATTATAAGTTGGTTAAGAATAAGATGGGAAAATTTTAGTTAAACATTTAGTTTGGATAATATATCTGGCTCTTTTATGTTTTCTATTAATTATTCTTCAAATTCAGCTCCTTATCATTTGCCTTGTGGATCTGTGCTATAGACAGTCATCTCTGTCTAGAAAGCATTTCCCATCATCTATTCTGTTACTGGCAGGAATTCCCATATTCCCATTACCCAGCTGGAACTCAGGACTCATGCCGCCTTCCAGATTAACTGTACTTCTGTAAAATATATTTCCTGTCCCAAACCTTTCCTTTAATTAAGTGTTCCCATGAGACCTATCATTACTTCTGAGACTCAGAGAATAAAGTAACTTTTAGATGACAGAAGCTGTGAATGAAACTATGTGAAAGCAAGCCTGGCAATATGCTACCTGGAAAATCAATAGACAGGTCAAACAAAGGAGGCAGACCTTTGTCAAAATGGACATAATATGTACCATATGAAGTTACTGAATGGATTTAATAAAAAGGGCTGAAAATGGTTTTTAGCACATAAGAAGGATGTGATTAGTGTTAAGTATCCTTAAATAATTATTATCCATTGCATTCTTCTAAGAATTTAATATTCAGTGAAATTTTTAAAATAATAAACTAGAGATTTACTGTTTCTAGTTGTTATGAAAAATATTGGAGAAAACCTGGGATTGGAAGAGTTTTGTGGCATTAAGATAATCTAACATTTTTTTTTCAGAAGAACTGTTAGACTGTATTTTTCTTTATAGATAAAGGCAGTTGTCTGTAGGTAATATTGAATTTATTAGAAGTGACATTGAATGACCTTTTATAAGGAATAAAAGCTGCCTGTTATCTATTTTTCATACATCTTTAGGATGATATGATGTCTTTTATATATTTATTTCTTTGATGCTTTAGTTTGTGAAGAAGAATTATTTATGGAATGAAACACTGTAGTCTCTCCTTATCTGTGGTTTCAATTTCTGTAGTATTACTCATCATCAGTTGTGGTCCAAAAATATTAAATAGAAAATGCCAGAAATAAATAATTCATAAGTTTTAAATAACTTTTATTGTAGTATATTATTATAATTTTTATTATTAGTTTTTAAAATTGCTCACTGTGCCTAATTTATAAATTAAACTTTATTACATATGTGTATGTATGGAACAAATATAGCACATATAAGGTTTGGTACAATCTGTGGTTTTGGGTATCTGTAGAATGTCTTAGGACATATTCTCTATCAATAAGAGGGAGCTATTTTATGTCACTTTATATTTCTGCTCTCTTCCTATTTTCTTCCTTGTGATCTAGATACCAGATGACAATTTCAGTATTCCAGAAGGTGAAGAAGATCTGGCAAAAGCAATTCAGATAGTCCAAGAGCAGGCTACAGATACTCAAATTTTGGTGAGTATGAATATTGAATACTATTGTATCCTATAGTTTAGCATTAATACTTTTTATATGAAGTTTTAAAAATCATTTAAACTTTAAGTACTTTGTTATATGATGCCTATCTCCTATGTTTTCTTTTTCCATTTCATTTTGTCATTAATCCTTACTTAAAGTAAGCAGTCTTATTTATTCTCATTTGTATTGTCGTCCTCCACATCATGACCCCTCTTCCATGACTGCAACAAGAGATACTTTCCTTCATAACTCTGATTAATCTCATGGATATTAAACCAAAAAATTTCAACACTCATGTTCAGAATTTGGTATTATATGCATATTAATCCAGCTGGCTTTATAAACATTTGCATCTATTTTTCATGGAAATATTCAGCTTTTAGGGAATGCTTAATATGTTATAAGATCTTCTTGTAAGGTGTGCAAACTAATTTCATTAAGGAATATGATATAGGATGCTTTTTGATTTTAATAACAAAAACACATAAGACTGATGACATAGCTATAAAATTAAAAAAACATTTAAAATTTATAATAATTTAATGATGCTACCAAAAATATTTTAAGAGCTTTATATTTTCATACAAATATTAATTAATTAAAAATGATATTTTTGTTTAGTTGAAAATTTGACTTCTTCAGGGTAAGAAAATATGTGAGACGTTATACCATATTATGTCCTATTTCAAATTTTCCATATTTGATAGATTTGCTTAATCTAGAATTAACCTCCTTTCCTAATTATCTACTTAGTCAGATTGGGAAAATAAAAACTCATGAGGAAGATTTTATGAAGTCACAATTGATTTATACTGTTAAAAATGAGGGCTCCATCTCATAGTAAACTGCATTTTCTAATCTATCCTTTAGAAAAGTTCTTTCTAGGTAGCCACAAGTGAGGTCTTCTACTACACAGACTTTTTAGTCTGTTTAATTTCTCAATGCATTAATTAATAGTAATAGTTTTATTATTTATTTATTTATTATCTGTGGTTCTGGGGATTGAATCTAGAGGTGTTCTACCACAGAGTTACTTTCCCAGGCCATTTTTTTTTTTTTTTAATTTTGAGAGGGCCTTGAACTGGTGATCTTCCTCTCTCAGCCTCCCAAGTAGGAATTAGAGGTATGTGCTACTGCGTTATAGGAATAGTTTGAAGATAGAGCATTTTTGCATGAATTACAACTTTTGAATCAATCATCTTACTCTTTTTTTAAAAAAATATTTATTGTTTAGTTTTCGGCGGACACAGCATATTTATTTTATTTGTATGTGGTGCTGAGGATCGAACCCAGCGCCCCACGCATGCCAGGCAAGCATGTTACTGCTTGAGCCACATCCCCAGCCCCAATCATCTTACTCTTGCTTTGCATCATTTATATAAAGATGGATTCTTAAAAATATTTTATGTACCACTCATTTGTATTGGTATTTGGGAAAGTAGATATGTCTAGTACAGTGCTTTGAACATAGTTGGCACTAAATAGTTGAGTTAGTGAATGAGTAAATAAATCATGGAAAGAAAAAAATAGAAATCAAACTGTAAATTTGCTTCTTTGCATCTGTTATCATGCTCAAATGTGTTTGTAAATGCAAAGATAATCAGAAGAGGACAGTTGGGGAAGAAATATTGTAAATTGTAGTATCTTTCATATCTATTGAGCCTAATATCTATAATTCTTCTTCCATCTATTTTCAGAAGCTTTTAAAAATCATAACCTTGCAGGAATTAACTTCTATGGATTTATAGAATTTAGTTTTATTTCAACGTGGTTTTGAGTTCTTTGGTTCTTTAGAGAAACAGTGCTATGTGGAAAATTCACAGAAGTTTCCCTTATACTATTAAAATTAAATATGGATTCATTTTATCATAAATATATTTGTGATATTTTATAATTTATTTTTTATTTTAATCTCCAAAAAGTAGCTTTGACTTGTGGCTTGGGATTTCTGTTTTAAAGAATATTTATTTCTTACAAAATCATTTTTCTTTCATTATCGTATTACATTGGTCATAAACAAGATATATTTTCTTATATGTTAGAGGATGCAGTAGGAATGAGATATTTAAACATTTACATTAAAGATAACAAGTAAAATGTCATGGTACTATTAGAAAAGTTAAGTAGAAATACAGTAAATATTCTTATTAAGATATTAATAGACTTAAAAAGTTGATATTTAAATAAGTTGTTATAATTTTTTTAAAAATTGGTGTATAGACTACAAGTTAGAGAATTGATGGTGTGCTTTATTTTAGAAGCATATTTTTTAAAAAATTATTTTTAACTGACAAAAACATAAAAAATTATGTGTATTAGTGGAATAATATGGTGTTTTGGAATCTGTACGCATGTAATGTTTAAATCTGGGTAGTCATACCTATCTCCTCAACATTACTTATTTTTGGTAAAACCTTAAGTCTTTCTTCTAGCTTTTTGAAATGTACAGTATATTATTGTTACCTGTAGTCACTATGTTACACAGTACTACACTAGAACTTCTTCTTCCTGTCTAATTATAGTTTAGGTATCTACTGATCAGTTTTTCCCTAAATTGTGTATTTGAAACACTGCCTGTTTTTTTAGTAGGTACCATGGTCTGAATTCTGAATAAAATGTTTTAAAATTATATTTGAAGTGATTCCTGAAAAAAAATAATAGGAGATGTTATTAATTTAACATTTGGGTAGTTAAGTTATGCTACTTATTGTTTCTTAAAACTGAAGTCTTTTCCAAGTCTTAATATAAGATGGGAATATATACATATGTAAGCACACATGCACGCATACATTTCTTTCTCTAAGTATGTGCACATTCTTGAGATATATGCATGTAATTGTATGAAAAGAAAGTACTACTTCCATTTTAGCTGGGTTTCCCCATCTAAATTGTGAGCCTTTTATAAGTATGCTATCGTCATTTTTTGAATAATTCTTTAGCCTCTTTGGTTCTTGGTTGTTTTGTTAGTTTTTGAGGTTCAGTCTCAAAGGTCCTTTATATTGCTGCCATTTGATAATAATTTCCAAGTTTTATAAAATCAGAGTTTTAGTCTTTAAAGATAATAGTAGTAAGGTACTCAACTCATATAAATGTGAGATTTCCTGACAGGTTCTCTTTCCTCTTCCTCCTTTTCTCCTTTTTATTTCCTCTTCCTCCTCTTCTTGCACCTTCTTCTCTTCTAAGAATTTAGGTAGATATTAAGCATTTCTATAGAACATTCAAGTATTTTTGGAGAAGGCTAATTGATGACTAACCCAGGCCATATTGTTGGTTAGCATATTTTCCAGTAGTTTTCAAAGTATTTTAGGAAGTATGTTTGAGGTCCCCAGAACCCTCTCAGAGTTTTTATTTTATTCTCTATTTTCTAACCATCTGCCTGAGATTGGATTTTCTTCATATAGCTCAACTAAGACAACATACCACAACAGGTTAAATACTGAGAAAATGCTTTAATTTATAACAGTGCGACTTTTCTTAGTAATTGTTTTCTGTTTTGGAAAATGTAGTTATTTTTTATAAAAATATGTTAATCTATGTTAGCATGTAAATCTTTTATTATAAATTAAATAAATATTTTAAAATTTAATTTATGATAAGTCTTGATTGATATAATCTCATGTAAAAATAGTCTCTGGAGAATTTGGCAATTTTTAAGAGTATAAAAGTGTTCTGGAGATTATAAAATTTAATAAGTTTTAATGAATTATATCCTAAGATATTTTTAGTATCCTTGGTAAGAAATATATTGGCTAACAAGAAAAGTAGTCTAGGATTAGTAAATTTAGATTCATTTTATTTAGACCTTGATCTCATGTGAGATTAGTGCAATTATTTCAAATTTTGCATATCATAGTGTTAATGAATTAAATACACAAAATAATTTTCATTATTTATAGGCTCAGTTGCTAAGTCATAATAAAAAGAACTATTTGTCATTAGTAAGTTTCCATTCTCTTGAGGTACACATTTAATTTCAATTTAAATAACCAGGCTCCTTGTGCTCAAAGCCTTACCTATAGACTAGCCAAGCTGTTATATTTGGCTTAAAGTGAATTGAGGAATGAATGTGATGGAATTCCCAAATAAAATGAGTTTTATGTTTTAAGACCACTTGGATTTTTTACCCCCTTTGGCACTGGGGATTAGAACCCAGGGGTGTTTAGCCAAATCACAGCCCTTCTTATTTTTAATTTGAGACAGAGTGAGAATACCTGTATTTTAATATTATTTTCTTTTTTCACTGGTCAACATCAGTTTCAGAGGAAACCACTGACTTTAGAAATAGTTCAAAGTAAGATAATTTTGGTATGTGTGAGGTCAGTACTTCTGTGTAATTCTACCTGTCTTCATCTCTCATATTCTTCTCCTCATCTTCATCCCTCACTTAGTCTCTTGGACCTGTGTTTTGTCTTCTCTCAGGTGAGCTACTGCATGCAACTGTGCTTCCTTCTCTCCTGCTTAAATGATGTTTCCAAATGCAGATTTGAATTTATCTCTTAAAACTTAAATCCTCACTGTCACCACCCTTCTACCTGCCTTTGACTTTTTGATATGCTTGCTGTCTTTCCAACTATATCTTTTGTCCTTCTGCTGTTAAGATCTTGAGTACAAATGAATTGAACTGTCACACCTTGTCTTTGCTGCAGTTCTTTTTCTTGCCTTGAATTTCCATGTCTCTTTCTTTGCCAGTTGAACTTCCTTGTTTTCTATAAAGTCAACCTGAGTCGCCTTAAAAGCCCTCATTTACCTATCCAAGATAATTGAAGTACTTTTCTCCTTTATATATTGATTTATCTAGCAAATCACTATATCAATAGTGACATAACATAGAAAACTCTACTTAAAAAATGTCAACTTTAGAACTGTCATTGTGAAATGAAGGTACTTGGCCAGAGCCACTTTTATTTATCTTCAGATTTCTGAGTCCATAAGAGTAGAATACTTTTAGTAATTCAGCAATCTGTAAAGTGATGCACATTTTTGCTAGTTTGTGTTCATTGCTTTTTTGTGTGCTTATTCTGGGGAGTTTTATTAACATTATAATTTAGTTACAAAGTCATAATGAGAGTTGTAAATAATGTATAATTGAGATAAAAGTGCTACTTAAATTATGTAAATATGCATATTGGTTGTGTGTATGATGTCTGTGTAAATTTATGAACAGGCCTTTGTAATCTAATCTTATCATAAATAGAAGAGTTCTATATTGTAATGCTTAGTTTTTACTCAAGCAGTCTTTCAATTCCTGAGACAGGACTGTGTCTTGTTGAATTCCTCACAACTTTCACAGTGTTTAGCACATGGGGAATGTTCACAAAATCTATGTTGAGTAAATATTTTGTGTAAAAATTCCACAGACATTTATTATCACATTATAGCTTGGAGTGTGTGTGTATATTGTGTAAATACAGAAGGACTGTGGGTTAAGGTATAGGTATATCAGGATTAGAGGTGTTAAATAAGAACCATACTTGAGTCTCATTAAAAGCCCTCATTTATGTATCCAAGATAATCGAAGTACTTTTCTCCTTTATATATTTATTTAACTAGCAAATATATTTATATTGCTAGTTAAATCAATATATAATTATCTTGGATAAGTAAATGAGGGTTTTTAAGGAGACTCAACTATGGTTCTTACTTAACACCTCTAATCCTGATATACATTTATATGTATAAGTAAGAACCACAGCAGGTAAGGTGGTTGTATTTCTGTTCCATGTGAGTGTTTCAGGGTATGTGTTTCAGATATGTTCAGGAAGAGATAGAAACTACCCATTACTTGATTTGTTTTATTTATACAGTGGCTTATGTGATATACTTGATTTATCTGATTTTGTATGTCACTTATTGAAATATCTCCATTTTTCTAGGCTAGCTATCAAAAGATGTTCTGTCAATATGGTAAATGGAAAAAAGAGCCATCAGATGTCTCTAGCAACGACTCAGCTGTCTCATGTACTGTAAAAGAGCCATAGACAGTGTGTAAACAAATGGACATAGTTGTGTTCTCTTAAACTTTATTCATGAGAACAGTTAGCTGACTCCTGATAGAAGTACTTACTTTCATTATAGAATATAGCTTCTTCAGTCACACATTTCTTCCATAGTTTTTCTAAAAATAAATATACCAAAATTGTTATATATTAAAAATAATAAAATTAAGAGAATCAAAAGGTCCCTACATTATTATCCACCCGCTCCTCCTTTTAAGTGTATTATGTGCTATTGGAAGGGAAAGCTCACCTCCTTAGTGAAAGAATCCAATCACACTCTTGCCTCAGGGTCTTTGCTCTACCTGATACACATCTGAAACACAAGTCATTCTTTTTTGTCTAGATTTGTGCTAATATAGCACTGTATCCAGTGCTGACCATAATTCTGATGGCATTTGCAAAACAGACATGTTTGTATTTTTTTAAAAATCAGCTATATGCCGTTCATGCCTGTGTTGGATCTTAAACAAAGTGAAGCACGTTCTAAATGCTTGTTAGGAGATATACGGTAGACTTTTCACTAAGAAACATATCTTAATTGAATCACCACATCATAATGACATATTTGAAATCAAAGATCTAAAAGTGAAGTTCAAGGTATTCTCAAGTAAAAAAAAAATCCATTCAGCCTAATATGTTTGGTAGAAAAGTTAGGCAGGTTTATTGGCTATACAATATAGCAAGGATGAAAACTTCAGTTTAAAAATTCATAATTTGTCTACCCTGGCTTTTCTTCTATCTGATGAAATTTCAGGAACTTTCACTGAATGAAAGTCACAAATGCCTGAGAAGCCAGTGAAGTTACTGATTGGCTTGGAAATATTTATGTGTGTCTTAGGATAAGAAGACACATTTACAGGGCAGCTATTATGAAGACAAACAACAAGTGTTGGTGAGGATGTGGGGAAATAGATACACTGATATACTGCTGGTGGGACTGCAAATTGGTACAGCCAATATGGAAAGCAGTATGGAGATTTCTTGGAAAATTGGGAATGGAATCACCATTTGACCCAGCTATCCCTCTCCTCAGTCTGTATCCAAAGGACTTAAAAACAGCATACTAAAGGGACACAGCCACATCAATGTGGGGTAGGGAGAGGGAGCATGGAGATATAGACGAACTCTAGGTAGGGCAGCAGGGTTGGAGGGGAAGAGAGGGGGCATGGGGTTAGAAATGATGGTGGAATGTGATGGACATTATTATTCAAAGTACATGTGTGAAGACACAGATTGGTGTGAATATACTTTGTGTACAACCAGAGATATGAAAAATTGTGCTCTATATGTGTAATAAGAATTGTAATGCATTCCACTGTCACATATAAATAAAAAAATATTTAAAAAAGAAGAGAAAAAGAAGACACATTTACAATGATGTTGCTGTACTGTCACCAGTATCATTTCTGCCAAATTTGTGGTCTTTCTATGAATGAATGAAGAAGGGATTTCTGAGTATCCACAATAACATATGACAGCATAGGAGGTGGGAAAATTTCATAGTGAGTGTTCATCTCAGTGATATCAAACATAGATGAAATATATCAAATCATATAAGAACTTCAGAAAAGAGCAGTGCCACATAGAAAATGAATGTGAACATATTCTCTGAGAGCTATACTTTAAAACAACAGTCTTCATCATGGGCAAGACTTCAAAATAGACTTAATGATTATGAAAATCTTCTAGATCCTATGGACTACATATGTGCAGTTGCCCATAATCTATCTTTGTAATGTGTATTTTCATGTTGAATTTTTTCTTCTTTTTTTTCATTCCACTATTTTAAGTTAACATCATTATTATATTTTTAGTATTCACTGTCCTTTATATTTCATCTTCATATGATTTATAGTATTGGACGTCAAAATTTTGTGAAGATTTTTAGATAACTAATTCATTTTACACAGTTATTTTTTTGGAAGTTTGGCTTTGCAAAAGTGCATTAAAACATTATTGACTTTGTATATAAGCATTGCAAGTTTGTAAAAACCTTGAAACTTCCTAAATAAATGAATTGATGTCCTTTTTTATACATGTGTATTTGTGAAAAATGTTTCTTGAGATTGTAGCTTTTGGGTGACTACATATGTGTTTGTGTGATCCATCCTGGTTTTTGATTGATTTCATCAAAGATTGAGATTGTTCATGATGGTACTTCATATGATTACAGTTATAAAACTGTGTGCACATAACTACTAACTATAGTGGTATATATTTATATCTTTTGCTTTTAAAAAATATGATCTTAGTTGTTGATGGACCTTTATTTTATTTATTTGTTCATATGTGGTGCTGAGAATCAAACGCAGTACCTCACACATGCCATGCAAGTGCTCTGCCACTGAGCCACAACCCCAGCCTATCTTTTGTTTTTAACCTATTATGAATAAGTTTGTCTGTTTACATCAGTTATACCTGTACAACTGTACTTAGTATACCTGAATGTTTATGCTAATAAAAATGTTTGTTATTGTTGCCTATATTATTGTGTAAAGTGGCCTTTGATGTGTTCTGTCATGATATTGTTTCTTAAATCATTTAAAAAAGTAATAAATATCTTTTTAAAGAGTTAAAACATTTTTAGAATTATATTTTTGGGATTTTGGTCCTTCAGGATCTTATACCTTAGGAATTTTGATCATTCTGGATTTCAGCACTTGAGTTTTTTTTTTTTTTTTTGAGATTATGACTCAAACCTCATATTTCAGTGCAGTCTTCCTCCACCAAATAGGGCGTTACCAAATGATGCATGGTAACTCCCTATTTCCATGCATGTTCTTGCCTTAAGCTTGCCTCTCCCTATCTTTAAGCCTCTGCTTTCTACCCCTACCCTTGCCCCCAGCACTTGGTACTCTCTGCCATGTTGTATATGTTTTATTTAGTCATCCATATTCTGTCTTCATTCATATGACTGTCACATATGAGGGCAGACACTTGTTTGTTTTCATCAGTACTTTAACCCTAGGGATTAAAATAGTCCCTGGCATCTAATATTTAAGAAAAATTGTTAAAAAATGAATGAATGAATGAATGAATGAATGAAAACCTATGTGTACCACTAATCAGAGCATTTATGTTTACAGAATTAATAATTTTACATTTTTATTTCAGGAGCAGAAAACAATTCTTCCTTCAAGGCATGCAGTTCCTGAAGTAATAGAAGACTTTCTCTGCAATTTTCTGATCAAAATGGGAATGACCAGAACTCTTGATTGCTTTCAATCTGAATGGTAAACAATTTTGTGGGTAAATAGTTCTCTAGAAATGGTAATAGCATTTACTGTGTGCATGTTCAACTGCCTTAAAAGACTGTGAAGTGATGCAATTTACACAGATAGAAACCTTTCCTATCTTCACCTTTGAAACTACAACACGCACTCATATAAACATGTAAGTGCACAGATACACAATCATGTATAGTTGCCAAGAAATTTTATTAAACATCTTTCTAAAATATTCAAATTTAATTATCTTTAAAAATATTAAGAAAATTGAATATCTCCTGGAGTTATATAACAAAAATATTTTTATGAAATATTTTCCTACTGTTTTTGTGTAATTACTAATGGTGTTGTCTCCTACACTAACATTCTGTTAACAGTACTACATTGCTTGCTTTATGAATTGTTAAACAACTGCCTTTCCCATCTTATGTACCTGATTCTTTTTGAATGTATAGTCTTTCCTTTAGAAGTAAGGGGCATTGTATTTTCAAATACTATCTAAAAATAAGATTTTTCTGTTATAATTGAAAATTTAAGTAACTTACTGATTATGAAAATCAGCAGGCATGCGGTTTTATTCCTTTGCTAATAACAATAAGGTCACCAGGCATATTTTTGAATTCCTGGCATTCTTTAAAATAATAATATTAAATGACTGGATTTGAAATATTTTTGATTTTTAATAATCATTGTATGTTGTAGAAAGAGAGAAATAAAATATGCATATATAAGATATATACAGATTAATCTATACTGTTTTGGATTAAATCCTGATTTTTAAATGTTGAGGTAATTTGCAATTTTTACTAATCTGGTTGTGATATAATTCTAATTTTATGTTTTTTTCACATCTCATATACTGAGAACATGCATATAAGAATAATTGGTTTCATTGTTTAATCATATTGAATGTGAATAAATTTAATGAGAACCAATTTTTATTAATACAGTCTAAGAAAAAAATTGAGTTTGGTGGTAGAAAAATAATACTGCTTATTTTAAAACTGCAAGTTGTGTGAATGATTTAAAAAATGTTCTGAAGAAATAATTATAGATATATTAGAAAATACATTTTTATAAATGTATGTCAGTGATTAATTTGCAAGTGATTAATTAAATGAGAAATTAATATGATTCAATTACTTTTTTGTCTTCTAAGAATGTGTGTTAGGAAGCATGGTACTTAACTTGTTAGGCCAGTGTGAAGTGTGAAATGATTCCCTTAGAGAAATATCCATCCAAATAGACTTTTAGTAATTAGATAATTGTTATCATCCTTTAAAACTGATCACTCTGAATTGATGAGATGACATTTTAGGAAACTATGTGATTATTGGGATGCAGTGTGATGTTGCATTTAGAAGGTAACAATTATGTACTGTGTCTTTTTATAATATAGGTTTAGTAATATTATAGCTAAGATAATTTTAACCTTATCTCTAGCTGCTAGTTTAAATCCCTAGCTGCTGTATCTGCAATGTATTGGATAATTATTTCACATGAAACATTTTCATTTTGATCAGAAACCTTTTCCTGTACTATGGGATATTTATGTATTATTTTCATCATTTTTCTTACTGTAAAAACCACTAGTATATATCTTTGCTTTGAATTCACTTGATCTTGCAAAAGGAAACCAAACAATGTTTTCCTGTTGTTAATTTGTGAAAAGCAAAGGAAAACAAAAAACTGGGCAGTAAACTTTGACTTATGTCTTTCAATTCTCAAGTAGTAAATCCTTTAAGTACTGAGTCAGAAAACTAAGCCCCTTTGGCCAAATCTGGCCTGCCCTCCTGATTTCGTAAATAAAATTTTATTGGAATATAGCCATGATCCATCTTTTAGGTATTTGTCTGTGACTGTTTTCATGCAACAAAAGAAAAGGTAACTAGTCACAACAGGGACTATATAGCCTGCAAAGCAGTTTTTGCGATTTCTAAAATATTAAATTTCTGGCCCTTTTCAAAAAGAGTTTTCAATCCCTGCCTTTTATAATATATATGTGAATGTATTAGGAATTTGCTCTATGAATCACCAAAACATTTTCATTCTGGGGTTAGTCAATGCTATTTTTATGTCTATTTTAGGAATACTATATGGAGAATGGTAATTTACCTTGGAGGAGGGCAAAATCAAAGAGCGGCATATGTCAGCCACCTCCCTTCCTAACTGGACTATTCTCCTGGCTGTTAATGTGTTCAGTATTCATTCACTCTTAATGTACATTCTTGGCTCTTCTTTGCCTTTCCCTTTTATTAGCACACTTTCTCTGACTCTTTCTCTCTTTCCAGCCAATGCTTTGAAAACAGAGTTTTTAATTTAGTCTTTCTTTATTTTTTGATTAATATTTTCATCCTTGGTTCTTTCTAATTTGGCCTCTTTTCCTACCATTTCAGTGAAGGTAGGGTGTTAGTAAAAATTCTATCAAAGGTAATAGGATGATTATTTATAACATTTAATTACTAATTTAATTTACTTATTATAGAAGAGACTGTAAATTAAGAATACTTTTTTTTAGTTTATAAAGATATATGTTGCAGCTTTCAGCCAATAAAAATTGGCATAATATATAATTATCCAATTGTGGGCAGTATAGTTACAATTTTCTAGGGATAGTGAGGTAACAAAGGCAGAGCCTAGAATTAAAACTTATGTTGAAAAAGCCCTTACATTCCCAGTATTATAGGAAGTATATGTGGTGTTTTGTACAGATTACTGACTCAGTAAATACTACACAACTACTTGTTCCTTCATCATTTAAATCTATCAATGTTTCTTCAGTTGATGAGTTGGCTTTTGGTTATGTGTCACTTAAGAACTAAACACAGGAATGTTCTGACTCTTCTGTCATGTTAACTTGTAATTGTATTGTAATATGCTAAATTTGAGCCCTGTAAATATATTTTCATATATTTATGTACTATGATATCAAGAAGGTAGCCTTGTAGGTGAATGTTAAGTTTAAAATCTAGAGTAAAAATACTAGAGCATTCATTACATGTGAAGGGTTTAAAATACTAAAAGATAAAGCCTTAGGATTATCACTTAAAAATTTACTTTGTGTCATTTTATTGATATAGTGTATTCTTATGCATATTTCACATTTCTCCCAACAATTATATGTAGCAGATAGCTACTAACATATCATCAATTTTATGGATGAGGAAATGGTAGACTCATTCATCACTAGGACATCTGCCTTAGTAAATGTCAGCAAGTGGCAGAGTCAACTCAAGCTAGATGCATCTTAGAGACTATTCTTCTAACCACAATGCTAGATTGTAGAATTGTGCAAGGGAGTCTTGAAAAAAATGAGAAAGATGCTTTCCAGCTTGACAAGAGACAAAAAATTTAAGAGATGTCTTGATTTTAGAGTTCAGATTTGTGCCTATTTTCCATGTTGGCCTGAAGAATCATAGTACTTGCATTGAACTTTTCAAATGTACTATATATGTTTCCTGTGAAGGGCCATCTCTCATGGAGTTGGCAATTCCAATATACTTAGTTTTAGCAGTAATTAAGAGATTTTTGCCTTTGTTGGTAAAATACTTTCCTAACTCTGAAAACAAGAGAAAAAAATTCTCATTTGATGCTTCTGTTTAAATGACCTTTTCCCTATTTTTTATAACCTATGTTGTATCATAGGTTATATATCCCGTCTAGTCTGACACTGTTTATATCTTTGCTGGTATTTTATCATGCTGTCTGTCTTTTGTGGTGGTGATCTAAAACTCTTTGTTATGTACACAAATATTACAAAAACTCTCTAATTTCTCATGAAAATGCATACCTATTCTCCATTTACATATAATTTCAAGTAGTTTATAGACTTATGGTAAATACAAAGCAGATTAATGTAATTTTATTGGCAGTTTTGTTGGGAATAAATTTTGTTTTCTAATAGTTATATAACAATATTTTTCTAAATGAACATTTTTTCAGTCTTATTCTAATGATGAGAGAATAAGGAAGAAATAAAAGGGCCAGGGTATTTCTTTTTTTATTTTTATTTTTTCTAATTAGTTATACATGACAGCAGAATGCATTTCAAGTCATTGTACACAAATGGAGCAGCACCTTTCATTTCTCTGGTTGTACACGATATAGAGTAATACCACTCCTGCATGTCCATCTCATTCCATCATCTTTCCTATCCCCATGCCTCATTCCCTCCCCTTACTCCCCTCTGCTCAATCCAAAGTTCCTCTATTCTTCCCATGTACCCCCCGTGCCCCGCTGACCCCCCATAATGGATCAGCATCCACATTTCAGAGAAAACTTTTGGCCTTTGTTTTTTTGGGATTGCCTTATTTTGCTTAGCATGATATTCTCCAGCTCCATCCATTTTCTTGCAAATGCCATAATTTTATTCTCTTTTAATGTTGAGTAATATTCCATTGTGTATATATATACCACAGTTTCTTTATCAATTCATCTACTGAAGGGTGTCTAGGTTGGTTCCACAGTTTAGCTATTGTGAATTGAGCTGCTATAAACATCGATGTGGCTGCATATGTAGTATGCCAAGGTTATTTCTTAAAAATAAAACTGCAGACGGTCATCATTATACAAAATACATGTATGAAGATGTGAATTAGGTGTCAACATACTTTATATACAAACAGATATGATAAATAGTGGTATAAAGGTGTATTAAGAATTGTATGCCAAAAACATAAGAGATCTCATATATAATGGCATAATTTGGCGTGAACATACTTTATATACAGTTACAAAAAATTGTGCTATGAATGGATAAATATGAATGTAATGCACTGCACTATTGTCATGTATGTAAGAAATTAAAAAATTGAATTGTAAAAAATAAAATAAAACTGTACATACATGCAAAACCAAAACAAAGCTAAAAATCTTAGGAGAATGTAGGATTTTTTTAGAATTGTATTTCTGGAGTTTGAGATTAAATTTTCCAACTACTTATAGTGACTTTGAAGTCTTAATTCTTCTTCTTTCATGCATGGAAGAAATTTTGTATGATGAATGACTTCTGAATGCCCTATGATAAATGTCATATTTTTGATTTTTGCTTCTCTTACCACATTTATTTTATTTACATGATATTTAATTTAGAGGACAACTGTTAAATAGCTTTTTGTCCTCACAGATATAATTTCATTAGTGAATTTTTTATTTCTGCACTACATAAAAGCAAGATGCTAAAAACCAATTTTATGGTTAGAAAAACTTTGTGGTCTAGTACTTCAGTCAACCTCTATGTCTTCTCTTTTGAGATAAGTATAAATCACATTTCAAAAACAGATAAAATATTGAATTTATGATTAAATGGTTACCTATTTTTTTAATAAATTGTGGTAAATAATACCATATATTGATATAACTATTTTAACCTTCAGTGTATTGTATAGGAGTCTTTTTGCAGGTATTTTATTATCAGATGGGATAAATATTATAAAATAGAGAACTACTTATTAAAATTTAATGTGAATTTATGGTTTGTAATATGAAAATACTAATTTAAAATATTTTTGTTACTTAGCTTACCTATAATAACCTTTGTAGGTATTGCTTTGTTAATACTTTTATTATGTAAATGTTTTTCTATGTTTGTTTTTTTATTTAGCTTTATTGATTGTTGCATATAGTGATTATAATTCTTTAGAATCTATCAATAATTCTCTGATGTTTCTTTTTAGTGTATTGAGGAAAAAGGAGAAAGAGTAGCACCTCCCCCTTTAACCACCTGCTGCTGTGTCTTCAGGCCTTCTTTCTTCTTACCTATCATAGATGATGAAGGTTGTTGTCTGTGTCCTGTCCTGTTCTTATTAACTGTATTCTAGCTCCTCTCATCTACTCAAGGACATTATCCCTCCTGTATTTGTCTCTCTCTTTCTTATTATTTTTGTGCCTCTGTTATGGGTCATTCCCATAAGCTTGTTGATGTGTAATAATATCTCATACATTCTAAAAAAAAAGAAAAATGAAGCACCTGAACTTTATTACATCCTCTTTGAAGTTCATCTTAATTTCCTAGTCTATACTTCAATGGCTTGTTTCCTTGAAAAAATTTGTTGCCACTTTCTTATTTCCCAACCCCTTTTATCCCAATGCTTAGCTGAGTAAACGTTTTTTTCAGTGACTTTCACATTGCCAATTCCAGGTATTTGATTCTCAGTACTCTTTCAAACTCCTAACAGCATTGTCACCAGTGCTTGTTTCTTCCTTATTCAAACATTTCTCCACCTGACCCTTGCCCGCCCGAAGCTTTCTCATAGTCTTGTATTACTTCACTGACCTCTCTTTCTTTTGAATTCTTGTGGTAGTTTTCAACTTTGAAATGATGGAGTGTTTTATGGGTCAGTCCTGGGACTTTATCATTTTTCTTGTTACATTCACTGTCTATCTAGTCTTTTCTAGTCTCATGAGTTTAAGTAGCATTTATATACTGATGGTTCTCATATTTAAATTGCCTATTTTGACATTTTCCCTGAACTCTTGACATGTATATCTAACTTTTATCTTCACTTGATTGCTAGACATGTTACCTTTACCACAAATGGAAACAGTTCCTTGATTCCTCCAATCACCCATCCTTACTGTGTTTGTCCCCACTTAGTAAATGGCTGTGTGTTGCATAGACCGAAACCTTGAAGTCATCCTTGACTTCTCTCCTTTTCTAATATCTGACAACATTCATCAGAGAATCCTGCTAGCTCTACCTGGACAGCACTTCTTATAATCTCAGCTGCTATCCACTTTGTTCACTCACTATTCTGTCTCTCCTGGACTATTGCTGCAGCCTACTAATTAGTCTCTGATTCAATGCATTCTCTTCTCCAGTCTGTTTCATCCAACTTACTCATCTATCTATAAAATAAATCTGATCAGTGTTACTTGTTTCAAATCCTTCCCATAGCTTCAATCTGATTCAGAGTAAAATCTCTTTCCTTATTATATACCATGATGGTATTAGTACCTAGCAATTCATTAATACTTCATTTTAACAATATATTATGAATGTTAACATTTTAATTTATAAATGTAATATGGCAACTGATTACCATAAAATTCACTGAGACTTAATTTTTCTAATTGCATGTGAGTTAAGGTAATTTAGTGGAGAGAAATGACAAAATCGTTTGTTTGATTTTTTTCTAGGTATGAGTTAATACAGAAGGGGATAACTGAACTTAGAACTGTTGGGAGTGTTCCAGATGTCTACACTCAGATTATGCTTTTAGATAATGAGAACAAAAATTTGAAGAAAGACTTAAAGCACATCAAACAGGCAGCTGAGTATGTTATTTTTAAATGACTATTTTTTTTTTCCTTTTCATTTTGGACTAAATAAAAATGAGTTGAATAGAGTTGATGTGTAATACATGAGAACTTTTATTCTGGAGAGCTGAATTATATTTAAATTGTAGTTATAAAAAATGTGAAAAGCTTTACTAGCAAATTAATTAAACCAGATGACCAGAATTCTCACAATTGAAATTCACTGACAGAGTAGAATGCAGACTGTCGTGTAGGAGATGTTTAAATTTGCTATAAGTCACTTCCCTTTGTACTTGACAATCTTTTTTATAGCTTGTAAAATTTTCTTCCATGAAGATAAGCTAATTTCTGAAATAATAATGAAATTATAAAAAACAGAGTGGAAGAAAGGAGCTAGTTTGTTCTTAGTAGAAGAATTTAGATATTTGAAAAATCCCCCAAAGGAATAATGTAAGCCATGGACTTGGGGATGGTAGATTATCAGATGTAACAAATATACCATTTTGTTGGGTGATGTTGAAAATGGGTTAGGCTATGCATGTGTAGGGATAGGAGGCATATGAGACATCTTAGGATCTTCTGATTAATTTTTATGTGAACCTAAAACTGCTTCAGAAATATTATATTGACATGAGTGAAATTGATTAAATTGTATTTATATGTATAAATATGCTCTAATGAAACTCACCATTTTGTATTATCAAGATTGTTGCATGAAGTAAAATGAGAGAGAGAAAAATGAACTATCTATAATCTTACTCACCTGGCCAACTATTGTTTCCATTTTATTTATTTATTTTTTTGGGGTACTGGATATTGAACTCAGGGCACTTGACCACTGAGCCACATCCCAAGCCCTATTTTGTATTTTCTTTTGGGGGAGGTTCTCACTGAGTTGCTTAGCCACCTTGCTTTTGCTGAGGCTGGCTTTGAACTGTTCATCTACTGCGTAAACCTCCCAAGACATGGCCACTGTTTGCATTTTCTTAAACAGCTCTTTGAACTTTTCTCAGTGAATGTACATATATATGTAAATACATTTATGTATGTATGAATATATATATGTGTGTGGGGGTAACTTTTAGATAAAGTTGTAATAATGCCTTATATTTTGTAACTTTTCATTCAATAAAAATGATAAACATATTTTTATGAACACAGATTTTATTCTAAAAACTTATAAAAAATTTCTGAAAGGAAATCTTTTTTTTTGTAGTTTCCTGACATAAATTTATGTACAGAGGAGAAACTTATCAGAAGCCAAATTTTTCCACATTTTTTTCCTCCTAAAGTTAATGGAAGACAAGCAGTTTTGGGGAACAATAATAGATAGTACTATTCTGGCAAAGAAATATGTGAATATGTTGACAGGGGAGAATTTACTCATGTGAGCCAATGTTATATGAAAAAAAATCATTGCTTACATATGGAAGAAAGCTCATTATTCATTCATTCATTTTGATTAAACATTTAAGATGAGGCTTTCTCTGTTCAAGAATCACATTTACGCTAAAACTACCTTAACATGACATATTATAATTATATATTTTTAAGATATATGAAAAATATTTAATGAGAAGAAACATGACTGAATTGCAAAATAAAGTAAGCATTTAAAGTAAGCTTCTACTTTTAAAAAGTATCAGTACATGAAAAATAATTTCTATGGTTATGTATTCAATTATTAGGAATGTGTAGAAATGTTTTTGCCAGGTTTGTTTTTGCCCAGTATATATATTTCATATTATCTGTGGATGTGCTATGTAGAATTTTATATTTTATATAGTTTTGTATGAATGATTCACCAAAATATGTTTCTAGAATTATCATTCCCTCTATTTTTGGTTCCATATCTCAGAAATGGTCTACTCTTTGCTTGGACATTACAGCGATTTTGAATAGGTACCTTGTGAGTATACTAGAAATTTTACAGAACATTTTCAACAGTGATGCCTGGCATACTATTTTAATTCCTCATTTCCTTTGAATTATGGCTTGAGTTTGCTAGTTTTCTTTTGGAGAGATACAGACTCTTTATGTAGTGCGTTTTACCACTGTAGTATTAAATAATCATTGATTGCTGGATGTTTATTGAATACTGAATTTGAAAATAACAATCAAAATTATGTAAACTATCACTCATGCAAATTATTACTTTAATGTTAAAAGAAGCCATAATTAGAACAGTTGCCATTCAATTGACATTTTGCTTGTTTGCTAAAATATAAAATTATAATTTTTATTTCAGTGGTTCATGTTTATTCCTTAATTTTATCTCATTCAGTATATTTAAAATCTTAACAAATTAGGAAATGAAAATATGTATTTGCTTTAATCTACCTGACATGGTAGATTTGAAGGAAAGCGGCTTGACTCTTAAAGATGTTTAATTGTTACTTTGTTGAGTGAATATTAAGCATGATAAAGTACATCTCAATACTTTTAGTGAAGTAACCTGATACATTCTCAGAAAATGTAGAATGAAATTTTGTAAAAAGTTTCCCAAACTATGTCTTACCATGCTACAAGCTTGCTCCCAATTGTAATGTTTCAACACCCAGGATTTTCAATTTGACATATGAGCATATTTTTCCAATAACAGTTAGTGATAAATATGATTCTCTTGATGGAATTTGATCAATGTTTGCCATTTTAGGATTAGGCTGTTTCTTAAGATAATTTTATAAGTACAATATTTTAGAAATATTTAATATTTAAAATGCAAAAAGAGTTAGTTTACAGATATGTCATATATTATCCTAGTTTGTACTGGTAGCATTTAATGAACTATTGAGAAAACTGAATAGAAATTCATAGCTATAAATTTAGTATGCATCTGAGAGAGAGTAACCATAGAAAGAGTAATGAACATAACTATCTAGCTTCTAATATTCTGCCACTTATTAACTCAGTTTTCTTATTGTTAAACTGGGAGTAATTATGGATAACATTATTAAATCCTAGAGAATGATGTGATAATTAAATGAGACAATCTATGTTAAAGAGCTGTGTGAAATTGCAAAGTGCTTTGAAATGTCACTTATTACTATCAATATCTCTAAAGGTTGTCATCCTAGGTTTTAAAAAAATTGTCACATCATTAATATTTTTGAAGTTCAGCAATAATGGAGTATGGAAGAAGAAATAAAAGAGGAAATATTTCATGCTAAAATATCATTTGAATTTCTGTAATTGATTTGAGGGATTGTCCATTGTATAAGTATTCTCAATTCCTGAGCAATAGTGTTTCCCCTTATACTTGCTACAAATAAAAATTTTTACCTAAAATACTAAATTTGGGAAATAATTGTTGAGAAATGTTTTTTACAGTTTATTTAAGGAGAAAATTATTACTAGAAAAGATTTATTATTATAGCAAAGGGAAAAGGATATTACATTTTGGATACTGGTAAGTGATATGTGATACTCTTTCTTGCAAAAGGAGAGTATAACTTCAGTTTCTAATGAAACATGGACTAATTGTTTTCTTAAATGCAGAAATCTAGGAGTAAAGTGATCAGCCTCACATTTGCGGAGAATTAGTGATTGGATGAAAACTAGAAAATATAATTAGAATTCTAATATCTTTCACAATTAAGGCAATACTTCATAAACTTTATTTGAAAATTGACATACTAAAAGATTCAGATTAGTCTGAGGTCCATAAGTAACTACTTTGAATTTTAATTAGAAACCTGTTTGCTTGATCTTGTTGCCAAATTTCATTTACATTTTATGTCTTTTTCTTATAAGATAGACAGTGTGCATAAACTGAGTTTGATAACTTCTGAAAGAGCCCGTGTACTTGTTCTTTAACTTCCTGTAGTATGGCTTTCATGTCACCTTTTCTCACATGGCTTTCTTGAACACTGAAGTACTCTTTGCTGATGAATATAGAAGTCTCTTTTCCTTTTCTGTGTTCTATATTTTATCCCTATCTTCTCTCATCTTCTGTGGCAGCATGCTGTTCTGCCCCTCTTTCTACCTTTCAATAGGCTCCTTTTACTTTTCTTGCCTCCACAATGTTTATACTCTGTTAGTCCAATAAGATAACCACTGACCAAACACATGTAGATATCAACAAACTTAACAATTATCAATGGTAATTGCTAGGAAGAAAAGTAACATAGGCAAAAGAGACAGAGGTCAGTGGGGGTGCTTTTCCATGTAGGGTGGTGGAGGAAGTCCTCTTAGATATCTGAAGAGACTATGGAAGGCCATGTGTAAATTGGGGAGATGGAGTTCTGGTCATGGTAAATAAAGGGAAGTGTAAAGAATATGTAGTTTGGGGTTGGGGTTGTGGCTCAGCGGTTTTTAGAGCACATGCCTAGCACGTGAGACTCTGGTTTGATCCTCAACACCACATAAAGATAAATAAGTAAAATAAAGGTATTGTGTCCAACTACAATTAAAAAATAAATATTTTTTAAAAAAGAATATGTGGTGGGGACAACTTACTTTGCTAGAAGAGAGTTAGCATGGAGGCCATATTGGTTTCACCAAGTGGGTTAGTAATAGGCCCCTTTGATAGAACTTTGCTTTTTTTTCTTTCTTTGAGTGGAATATGAAGCTAAGGAACGATTTTGAGTAGAATCATAATGTGAGCAGGCTTCTGCATGGAAAATAGACTAGGTAGAAGGACATTATGGAAACAGAACAGTATATTTGGCATAACCTTATGGATTGATTTAACTGGTTAACTGCATAGTAATAATTAAATCAGGCAAGCTTCATATGGGACAATTAGGTTCTTTCAAGGACAACACTTGCTGACATTAATCTCTGCATTATTGCCCCCATGTAAACTTTGGTTCAGAACAGATGACTGATCAGGTATTGTGTCTAGAATAACACAACTACTTGATGTTTTGCCATTTATTAAAGAGAAGAATTTAATTATTATTCAGTTACCTCATGTGTAAGTGGGTAGTATTTTCTACCTTTTGTGTAGTACAGTGTCTGTCACATAATGAGTACTCAATAACAGTTAAATCAGCATTCTGTGTTAGGGCACTTTT